CATGAGAGATCAGCCTGGTCCCCTAAATTATTGTACTCTACGCCGCGAGAGCGGTAAGAACTTAGTAATGATTAGCTAGGCTCAATTAAATTAAATTCATGTAATTAGGCCTGATCTGTCAGAAATCTGGTTACCCCGGAATCAATCCCTGTTCCCTTCGTCGTTAATTGAGAAGAAACCAATCTTTTATTTTTATCGCTCATTAGCATTAGTTTTAATTTTAATTCAACCAATCAATCTCGCACACTTGCATTTATTTATTTTATTTCTTTTTAATCGCTGAATTTAGTTAATCTTTAATTCCCTTTTGTCCGTCCCTGTGGAGACGATACTCGTACTTTCAACCACTATTCTACAATCTTTTTAAGTGCGAGAAAACACACATCAATATGCTATACAAGGCATACGGTGGATAAACATTAGAGGAAAAGTTAATACAAGGTCATTACCTTAATCACCACACCTTTTTCCTCTCTTGTCCCTTCTTAACTTCCTCCTTTGACCTCCTTGAGCTTGAGCTCGAATTTAGCTATGGAGAACTGTATTTGGAGAGCCTTTTTTCTTCTTTCTTGGTTCTTGGGTCGTGCATAATGGAGGGGAGGGGATGGAATGACTAGTTTTGTCTTCAATGAACCAATGAGTGTGGGATGGGAGCCCACCTCATGTCATCCACACACCAACCATCACCCTCATGCAATCCACACCACATCTTTATGTTGTGCAGCACCTCTTAGTCAACTTAAGCTCTCAAAAACGTGGGGTGGACCCCACTCATGTGGGAGGTCATCCCAATGTGTCCCAAAGTGTACAATCGGTCCCGAAAGTTGAATTTCTCGGACTGTTTTAATTATATTTTATTTTATCGGATCAAATAAAATATATTGTATGTCCTACATCATTATGGACTTTTAGGATGAATATACGTTCTCCAACTTTAATGTATAAGTCTCCGAAATTCGTTTCGGGCTGTTATCCGGTAAATTACCAGAAATAGTAATTGGGCCCTGTTTGACCAACCGGTCAACCCAATGCCTTTCCTATGGCCCAATATGAATGTCCACCACCATATAACTATTATCTATACTAAGATGAATATAATATGAGGTCTCGGGTTATCGGGTGGCCCCCGCTCCCGGTGTGGGCCCTGCGTGGAATTCTACTATTCACGCAAAAGAAATAACAATAATTTACAACCTCGTAAATTCATTACTCAATACTCAATGTTCAATACATAATTTACATAAAGGTAAATATATTTGGGGATGGTGTTACAAACAATCAATGATTCTATATTCCATACAAAACTTGTGCATTTCCCTGACTTCATCATCAAACTTAACCCTCCTTAAACCTTTTTCAAGGCTCTGTCCGGGAATCAAGTAATAGATCTCATCAATACTACTATATTTGCCACACTTACCTACTAATTCCTCTAACCAAAACCAGCACAACTCATCTGCGTCAAGCCGTCAATATCAAAGCATTTATACTCACTATTTTCATACTCCAACATTTTTTGACTATTCTTCTTAAATATACCACCATGCCACATCTTAATTGTAATAACACTTGAAGTAGCCATGTGAACTTCAGATTCCTCAACTATAACCTACAATTAAATAAACATTTAGGAAAATTATGTACGAACCAAACCCTAAAATGTCCCATGACCATTTCATATGATTTTTGTGAACACACTAGTATTACATACTACATAACTCAAATCAATCAGGTGTTTAAGGTTTACCTATCGTTCTGTCTTCTGTTCGGATCCAGTGTGCTGCGAACGACTATTCTCCACCTCGGAATGAAATTGTATTGACCTTAGAAGCTATGGATAAGTGCGGTTGTTGGAACGGGTGAGAGGAACATAACTGTTGTGGGGTATCACTTAACGGTAAAAAAAATCACCCGTTTGACTAAGGGTTTACCGATTGTCCAGGTCGTGGGTGTTAGGGTGCATTATTAGAAAAGGGGACCCAAGTTGGAAGTACATGGAAATGATCAATACTAGGGATTATAGAAAGTGGACCGCGTATAGTTGGGATTAATAATACCTAATTTGCTTAATATTTTTTATCTGTGTGCAAAATGTTACAAACAAATTATATCATTATTCAACAATTCAACAAGACATAAGCAATATTTTATAAACCACAAGGACAATAATTTTGACTATTGTCAAAACTATAAGGTGATGGTAACACACAGATAGTTTTGACTATCTGTGTCAAAAGTTGGGAAAATGGCAAATAAGCCCTCGAATTAACCAAAAAAGTGTGAATCACTCCTTATATAGAAGGCTCTGTCCGGCCGTCATCATTTGGGGAGGTTCCCGGTGAATTTCTTTGATGAATTTTTTTGAGCACCTTCTTTATTAAGTCTAGTTTACTCATACCAAATTTCAGCTAAAAAGTCAATGGGGAAAGCAATCAAATGAATTTTTGAAGATAACTGTGCAGTTAAACAACGCAGTATATTTTAGAAAATCATTTGACTACCTTTCCGGTTTAATTTTATCTGAAATTTGGTATGGGTAAACTCGACTTAATGAAGAAGATTCTAAAAAAATTTCATCAAAAAATTCCACCGGGAACCACCCCAAATGGTAACGGCCGAACAGAACCTCCTATATAAGGTATGATTTGCACTTTTTTTTGTTAGTTCGGCCTTATTTGCCCATTTTCCCTCAAAAGTTCATCTCTAATTTTTCGGTGATGGTCAAGAGTTTTTTTCCATTTTCGGTCCCTTGACTATTGTGTCGGTGACACTTTTGATACTCGACTTTTAATTTTTCCATTTTTAGTCCTCAACTATTGTGTTAGAGACACTTTTAGTCTTCGACTTCAAAGTGTTTCACATTTAGTCCTTTGATATTATCAAATTGACACTTTTTGTCCAACCACTATGATTTTGACACAATAAGTTTAGGACTAAAAAATCACCGTTATAATAGTTGAAGGAGCAAAAGTGTCACTTTTATGTTAGTCGAAGGATTATAAATAGAAATTGGGGTTAGGTCATAGATAGAACTAATTAATAGGATTTTGACTAATCTAAGACCTCCTTAACTAAATGCCAATAAAGAGACCAGCTGTGTGAATCTCAAAAATAATTGTCAAAAATACCCTTCTTACTGATGCATTCTCCGCCTTCCTTATACGAAGTAAATCAGAGCCCATTTCCAGTTTCCAACTTTCCTTGTACGAAGTTAGCAACTTCGATATTAAGACAAAAAATGCATGATTTTCATATCACCAATGTTTGGGTTATTCGATGACCATTTACAATTTTTTTACTTGTCTAAATACAATTATTAGACAAAACAGTTTAAATTTTGGACTTATATATGTCAAAACAATTACCAAAAAATGAGGTGTGGACATAAAAGTGATTTTTTTTTTCAAATTTCAAAAAAAGGGATTATAAAGATGCCAAAAAGATTATTATACCCTTATATTAAAATAATTTCATTCATTAGAGCTAAGGTGACATAAAAATCCATCAGACAAAAAAAAAACGACCCGACCAGTTACATTTACTCGATCCGTCCAGTTACAATCACCCGATTCGTCCATTTACAGTTATAAGACCCGTCCAGTTACAGTTAACCGACCCGTCCAGTTACAGTTACCCGACCCGTCCAGATACAGTTACCCGACCCGTCCAGATACAGTTACCCGACCCATCCAGTTACAATTACCCGACCCATCCAGTTACAGTTATCCGACCCGTTCAGTTACAGTTACCCGACCCATCTAATTACATTAACCGACCCGTCCAGTTACAGTTATCCGACCCGTTCAGTTACAGTTACCCGACCCGTCCAGTTACAATTACTCGACTGATCAGTTACAATTACCCCGACCCGTTAGTTACAATTACCCGACTGATTAGTTACAGTTACTCGACCCTCCAGTTACAATTATCCGACCCGTTAGTTACAATTACTCGACTGATCAGTTACACTTACCCCGACCCGCCAGTTACAATTATCTGACTGGTTAGTTGCAGTTAATTGACCCGCCGGTTACAATAACCGACTAATCAGTTATAATTATTCAATTTCACAAATAATAATGGCCAAATTTGACCTTTTGTAGTTACCCGATACCACCGCCCACCGCCCACCATATCACACCGGCCACCGACACCTCCGACCACCACCGGCAACACCACACCCCAGCCCCTGCCTCACCCCCCCCCCCCCTTGTCACTCAAATCCCTACATCACCCAGCCCCCCAAACTCTAGCCCCCACCGTCACATGCAATCTTCCAACAACCTCCCACCAAGCCCAACCAGCACAACCCCTCTCCACAGCCGCCAGCTCCCCAGACTCAACAACCCAGCCCCATCCAAGAGGCCAACCCTGCTGCCCACCCTACCCAAAACCCTGGCCATCAACCAAGTTGTAGTAGTCGTCTCCACCTCCGGTCGTCGCTGCTGAAATTCGTTGCCGCCTGGAGTGATATTCCTCCCCTGATTTCATCTCCTTCTTTCATATTTTCCTAGATCTAAATAAGGTTAGCCCGGGAGAATTGAACCTGTTCTCCAATAGAAAGAAAGAGTAGAAGAAGAAAAGTGTTAGGTGGCGGACAACAGTGAAGTAGACGGTGGCGGCGGCAATAATGGAGATGGGACTATGGGTGTGGAGGCAGCGCTGGTCAGGAAGATGGAGCCACATCTGGAGCTATCAGCCACGGAGGAGAAGCTATTGTAGATATGCGTGGGAGGAATATGGAGTTATCGGCTAATCTTCTAGGCTTAAGGACAAATCAGACTTTTAACTTTAGTTAAGTCTCTTTTATGTCAAAATCAAATCCTGGGCCTATTTTTGTCTACCGAAACTCGGGTAATTCTATTCCCGTCATTCTTACATAGAAATTTTCAAACACGGGTACCAAAAGTGTCTCTAGTATAATAGTAGATGACTAAAAGTGGAAATAATCAAAGTTGAATACCAAAAAACTCTATTTTCAATCCTATAAGGTGGAAGGATAAAATGGTTATGATGATGATGGGCATGGAAGATGCTAGGCTATGATGAAAAGACGGAAGCGGAATATAAATCCCGAGGTGTTTTTCAGAAAAAAGTCCATTTCGGATTTCCGCGAAATTCTCGATTGATTTTATTCTGGAGTTTGTGAGTTTGGAATGGGTTCAAACTTCATCTGGGAATCAAAGCCATATTATGGATAGGGAGGGAATAAGTTGAGAAGTTATGGCGAGCAGCGCAGGTGCGCTGAGCATTGCTTCATCGCTACCGCTAAAATCCGGCCGAAACCCCCAGGTACACGAAAGGCCTTCTTCTTCCTTCTCTTTGGACTGCTCTGCTTCGACGTCTGCTACTACTAGTACTGAGCATGGCTCGAGCAAGAAATTTAGCTACAGCAGAGCCTCTCCGTCAGTGAGATGGCCACACTTGACATTCACGGACAGTCAGTGCAATTCAGACCATTTCCAGTTCACTATGTATCCTTCCCCACTTACCCGTACGGAAAATGAAAATGAATCCCGATTAGATAAGAGCCGGGATGGTTTGGATAGTGGTAGGATCAGGAGTGGGACGAGGGCTAAGAAAATGAACAAATTGGCATTGAAGAGGGACAAAGGATGGCGAAACAGGGTACAGTTTTTAACTGATAAGATCTTGCAGTTGAAATCTGATGAGTTTGTAGCAGATGTGTTGGACAAGAAGTTGGTGCAGATGACCCCAACTGACTACTGCTTTGTAGTGAAGTGGGTTGGCAAGTCTAGCTGGCAAAGAGCATTGGAAGTTTACGAGTGGCTGAACCTTAGGCACTGGTATACCCCCGAACCTAGAATGTTGGCAATGATACTTGGTGTGCTCGGAAAAGCCAACCAGGAAGCATTGGCTGTGGAGATATTTACTCGGGTGAAGCCAACTGTTGGGTACACAGTTCAAGTCTATAATGCAATGATGGGTGTTTATGCCAGAAGTGGGCGATTCGCTAAAGTTCAAGAATTGATTAGTTTAATGCGCGAACAAGGATGTGATCCAGACCTTGTGAGTTTCAATACACTTATAAATGCACGCTTGAAGTCAGGTCCTATGACGCCAGGGTTGGCAATTGAACTTCTAGATGAGGTAAGGAGTTCTGGGCTCCGGCCTGACATAATTACATATAACACTCTTATCAGTGCTTGCTCCCGCAACTCAAACTTGAAGGAAGCTGTGAACGTTTTTAGTTATATGCAAAGTCATGCATGTCAGCCCGATTTGTGGACCTACAATGCTATGATTTCGATTTTCGGAAGATGTGGTCTCGCATGTGAGGCTGAAAGGATATATAAGGATCTAGAGTCGAAAGGGTTTCAACCAGATGCTGTGACTTATAATTCGCTGGTATATGCATTTGCAAGAGAAGGAAATGTTGAAAAGGTTAAGGTGACATGTGAAGAAATGATAAAGATGGGGTTCCTGAAGGACGAGATGACATATAACACCGTGCTGCACATGTTTGGGAAGAAGGGTCAACATGATATTGCTCTGGAATTTTATCAAGAGATGAAGTCTTCTGGCCGACTTCCTGATGTAATTACGTACACCATTCTTATTGACTCGCTCGGGAAAGCAAACAAGATGTCAGAAGCTGCAAATGTGATGTCAGAGATGTTAAATTCTGGAGTGAAGCCAACCGTCAAAACCTATTGTGCTTTAATATGTGGTTATGCAAAAGCCGGGAGGCCAAGGGAGGCTGAAGAGATGTTCAATTGCATGACACGTTCTGGCATCAATCCTGATCAGTTGGCATACAATGTTATGTTAAGCATGTATCTGCGGTCTGAAGAGATCAAGAAGGCACTGTTTCTGTATCATGAAATGATAAATGATGGATATACTCCTGATCTTTCTACCTATGAATCCATTCTGAAAGTATTAAGGAGAGAAAATGAAGAAGAAGGTATCCAGAAAGTGATCAAGGACTTGGAACAAGTGTGTCACTTGAGCCCAGAAGGCATTTCATCTCTACTCGTTAAGGGGGAGTGCTATAGTTTTGCTGCCAAAATGTTGAAATTATCCATAGCACAAGGTCACAAACTGGACAAGGACAGCTTCTTGTCTATTCTGGGAAATTATAGTTCATCTGGCAGGCAGTCAGATGCGATGGAATTGCTAGATTTTGTGAAAGAACAGACTACGGAGTCCCAGAAGTTTCTAAGTGATACAATGATTGTCATGCTTTGCAAGTCTAACCAATTGAATGCTGCTTTGAATGAGTACTTCAGAACTAGCAACTACAGTAGTTCATGCACTGGTAGTGTTGTTGTGAGTGAATACCTCATCAGTTGTTGTGAGGCAGCTAAGCAATTTTCTGAGGCTTCTCAAATATTTTCTGACATGCAAGCCAATGGGCTGCAGCCTTCTCAGGATGTTTATAGAACAATGGCTTCTATCTATGTGACTATGGGTTTCCCTGAAACAGGTCATCATTTGGTCAATCAAGCAAAAGCACGAGGCATGCCTCTTGATGGCATTTTTTCCATTTATGTCAATCTAATCAAGGCTTATGGGGAGCTGAAGCTACTGCAAAAGGCTGAGGAAGTTGTGGCAACTCTGAGAGAGAAGTATGCTGTTTTGGACCAAACAGCTTGGAATGCATTGATACAAGCTTATGCTGTGAGTGGCCTCTATGAGAAAGCAAGGGCAGTTTTCAACACAATGATGAGAGAAGGTCCATCACCTACAGTGGATTCCATCAACAGTCTCTTACACTCATTGATTGTTGGTGGCAGATTAAATGAGCTATACATTGTGATACAGGAAATTCAAGATATGGGTTTTAAAGTTTGTAAGAGCTCCATCATTTTGATGCTTGATGCATTTGCAAAAGAAGGGAACTCTTTTGAAGTTAAGAAAATATACAATGGAATGAAGGCTGCCGGGTATTTCCCTACCATGCATGTTTACAGAGTGATGATTAGGATATTTTCCAAGGCAAAAAGAGTTAAGGATGTTGAGGCCGTGCTTTCCGAAATGGAGGATTCAGGGTTTAAGCCTGACCTTTCTATTTGGAATTCGGTGCTCAACTTGTATACTAGAATTGAAGATTTCAAGAAGACAGATTACATATTCCAACGAATTCAAGAAGCTGGACTCAAACCAGACGCGGAAACTTACAGTACCTTGATATTCATGTACTGTCAAGACCGTTGTCCTGAACAGGGCTTTAAACTTATGCAAGAAATGAGACAGCAAGATTTGATCCCTGAGATGGACACCTACAAAAGCCTACTTGCTGCTTTTTCTAAAGAGCTCATGCTGGATCAAGCTGAGGAACTCTTTGAACGGCTTATGTCAGAGGGTCATAAACTTGATCGCTCTATATATCACTTAATGATGAAAATGTATAGGAAATCGGGTAATTGTTCTAAAGCTGAACAGTTAGTACTGAAGATGGAGGAAGCAGGAATTGCGCCTTCCACTGCAACAATGCATTTGCTGATGACTTCTTATGGGAGATCAGGCCATCCCACAGAAGCACAGAATGTGCTGAATAATTTGAAGACAACTGGTGCAATTCTTAGTACATTACCATATAGTTTTGTTATTGATGCGTATCTTCAGAATGGAGACTACAATACCGCTATTCAAAAGCTTAAGGGCATGAGTTTAGAAGGCCCAGAGCCAGATCACCGAATATGGACCTGTTTCGTTCGAGCGGCTAGTTTATGTGATCATATCAGTGAAGCCAAGATTTTATTAACTGCTATTGCAGATGCTGGTTTTGATCTCCCCGCAAGGCATGGTTTAAGCATAGTGTCTTTATTCTTTCTTCTTTTTTTGTTTAATGGGCGATGATCTTTCCAGTTTCCACTTTCTTTTCTTACATAAAATTACTAATGCTATTATTTAATTTATAGGCTTATGAGGGAACATTCAGAATCACTGGTTTTGGAGGCAGATCAGTTCCTTGAGAAAATTGCATCTACAGATCATGAGGCTGCAATTAACTTTGTCAATGGTTTGGAAGACCTATTATGGTGTTTTGAGATGCGAGCCACTGCTTCATGGGTATTCCAGTTGGCAACTAAGAGGAACATTTATCACCATAAAGTGTTTAGGTAATGGATATTAATAATCTTTTGTGGACATTGAGGTGTTAAGGAGAGTATAGTTGACTGATTTTCAAAGTGTTGTATTATTATATTCTTACAGACCGATATTTGAAATTTCACATGCATGTCAAGTTACAATAAATATATGGGTAATAATTGAAACTTTTCTGGTTTTATACTCAGTTTTCTGTCCACTGATAGTCGCATTTTTTAGCAGGGTGGCTGACAAGGATTGGGGGGCTGATTTCAGAAAGCTATCCGCCGGGGCTGCTTTGGTTGCCCTAACTTTATGGCTTGACCACATGCAGGTAGGGTTTCCTCCTTTGAACTTCCTACTTCTGTGGCTAATAAACTACTACCTCCGTCCCAGCTTAAGGTTCCTGTTGCAAAATAGCATAATTATTTAGACAATTATATTTTGTGAAATAGTTTTGATGAGTATATAATGTAATGGGGTCATTGATGATAACTGTGATGTTATAAATGCATTATTATTAATATTTGATGATTAATCTGTCATTAGAGAGTGTTAATTATTATTTCCTAAAATGGAAATGAGAACCTTTAGCTGAGACGATGGGACTAATTTAAAAGGTCCGTAACTTTGTACTTTGTGAGTTTATTTCCTTGTTACTACACATTTTTACTATAGAATGCCAGCTTCAAATATTTATTCATTGCACAGGTAAGTTACTAACTTCAGTTTTGATTCTGAGTGCATAATAAATACTCCGTAATAAATACATTAGAAACTTGGAAGTCGACATGATGGATTAAGTTGAAAAAAATTAAGTCTTTTTTGGTACTACTTTCCTCATAACCTATTTGATATAAAAAAATGTTTGGTGTACACCTTTTTGTGTACACCAATCGCATACGACATACCTTGTCTTTGTACACAGGCAGAGTTATCAGACAACTTCTGTATTTCCAAACAAATTGTGTTATACAGGCAATTTTGTCTGTGTAGTCTGACAAGGTGTGCGAATGGTGTATACGAAAGGGTGTACGCCTAGCATTTTGTATTTGATATAGGAGTGTAATCCGATGTGACCGTGTCCTGGTTATCAATGTGCCTTAACATTACACAACTTGTGTTGTTTCTGAACCCTACTGGGATTCTGCAGGATGCTTCACTGGAGGGTTTCCCTGAATCATCAAAATTTGTTGTCTTGATCACCAGTACAGCGGAATACAACGAGGTATCATTGAACAGTACATTAAAGGCATACCTCTGGGAGATGGGGTCTCCATTTCTCCCTTGTAAAACCCGAACTGGAGTGTTGGTAGCCAAAGGCCATTCCTTACGATTGTGGCTAAAGGATTCCCCATTTTGCTTGGATCTTGAGTTGAAAAATAGAACAACAGAGGCAGAGGTTAACTCGATGCACTTAATCGATGGTTGTTTTATGAGACGTGGTCTTGTTCCAGCCTACAAGGACATAAGCGAGCGGCTTGGGATTGTTAGCCCTAAGAAGTTCTCAAGGCTTGCTTTGCTTCCAGATGAGGAAAGGAAGAGAGTTATTGAAGTCGACATTCAAGGGCGTAAAGAGAAGTTAGCCAAGTCGAATGAAATTGGGACAGTAAAAAAGAAGAAAAGATTCATCAGGCAGGCTAATCCATGAACAAGGTACACCAGGGTGTCAAAAGCCCCCCCCCCCCCACCCCCAACTCTTCTCTTTCACTGTACTGTTTTATACCCATGGACTGATGTCATCTTTGATTTTCTTTTATTGCTATTGTTACCACCACCACCATCATCATTGTCCTTGTTTCCGGCTATCAGCAGACGATAAGTCAGGTGTCAGCTCTCACACAAGTTCAACAAGCTTGATGATATGGCTTACTGCTGCAGTTGGTTAGTTCACATTTATCTAGTTTTGTTCTCTCTTTTCCAAAGTTCAACGAAGCTCTCTTCCATTTTTCTTTGAATTGTGATTTTATCTGATGATTTTATCTCCACCCCAGAAACTGCTCTCATCTCATGTTGGTGGTCTCCGATACCTAGTGGGGCGAAAGAATTACAAGGTCGATCAAGTGTTTCTACAAAACCTGCCCACAAATCTAAAGGTAGTTGTCATGGCATGTGCTCTCTTTCTCTTGAAAGATCAAATTGGATGTTACCCAAGTGCCCCCTTGCGCCCGTTCTCCCCTGCGGTAAGGGGGGAGGTATTTCAACTGCTGAGGAATTTATTCATGCTAACTGAATCTCACTGCCCTCTTGCTTGCCCATTTCACATGACAGGTCATGGGCTCATGTGGGTCAACAGTGAACAGATTAGGAAGCGGACAATGAAGGCATGCATATATGCCATCATATTTGGGGCATGCATATATGCCATCATATTTTGCAAAAAAATGGGGTATTTATTTAATAAATCAATAATTGCCGTTCATTCTTACTAGTAGTATTCTGGAAAAGAGAACATCAGATATTCAGATGCAGTCAATGGAAGGTAAGGGCCTGGCAGGTGTTATTTGATTTAACTTTTCTGCTAATGGCGGAAATCAACAGTGTTGTCAATTCTCCTTGTTTTCGACTGTACTAAGTTGTAACTCGTAAGGGGATCAAATGGAACGCAATAAAGATGAGACCAAAAAATTAAGAGTAACTTCATATGTGTAAAAGGACATTATTGGTACTTTGACAGAGAATGACACACAGTCCTACCACAGACAATTTCATTCATTTTTTACTTTGACAGAGAATGACCCACAAATGTTTTTACTTGGACTGTTTTCAAACCTAAAAAGACCAGACCAGACTTAAATAGATCAGATTAGACCAGACTTAAAAAGATCATACCAGACTTTCGTAGTTATAAAATACACAAAGACCAGACATTCACCACCAAAGCAGACTTTCGTAGTTATAAAATACACAAAGACGATACATTCACCAGATCAGACCAGTTCAGATTAGACCAGATTTAAATAGACTAGACTAGACCAACAAATTTCAGTCCAAGTAAAAACACCAAAATCCAAGTAAAAACATCAAATAGGTCCTCGAACTTTCATAAAAAGATCAATTAAGTTCTTCTATAGGAGGTTATGTCCGGTCGTCGCGATTTGGGGCGGTTCCCGGTGGAATTTTTTGATGCAATTTTTTGAGCATCTTATTCACCAAGTCTAGTTTACTCATACCAAATTTTAGCTAAAAATTCAATCGGGAACACATTCAAATTAATTCTTGAAGATAACTGCACATTTTTGCGTTCTCGAATTAATTTGAATGCGCTCCCGATTAAATTTTTAGCTTAAATTTGGTATGAGTAAACTAGACTTGATGAATAAGATGCTCAATAAATTTCATCAATAAATTCCACCGGGAACCACCCCAAATTGCGACGACCGGACAGAGTCTCCTATAGATGGACTTAATTGATTTTTTTATGAAAGTTCGAGGACCTATTTGACAATTTTCCCTTCTTTTTATTTTGGAACTTTTTGAAGATGTAAGAAACAATAAAAAACCGAAGTCTTAAAACGGTAAGAATAGTAGTAATATAATCATGAGTAACATTTACGACTTGAGCGTGGTACAGTGCAAGGATGTGTAACTCGTGGACTGGAAGAACAGAAGGTTAAACTTTTTTCGAGAGATAAAAGAGGGTTCTATGGGAGTGTTACAGACCTAACCTATACTAGGCCCATTCCAGTGCCATAAGCTCAGGTGTAGAACTCACTCCTAAAAGACCAGCCGATTAGGAGGATGGAACACCTTGCTTATAAGCCACCGGTCAAGCTCATACTTGACCGGTGTGGGATCGTAACAATACCCCACGCTTCGAAGAGCCAACGTCCTCGTACCCCCCAGGGCCCAAGCCACCACTCCATAGGTCACCACTCCGAGTGTCGGGACTAGAAAGAAGGGGACGGTTCTGATACCAATTGTTACAGACCTAGCCCATACCAGTGTAGAACTCACTCCTAAAAGACCAGCAGATTAGGAGGGAACACTTTGCTTACAAGTCACCGGTCAAGCCCATACTTGACCGATGTGGGATCGTAACAGGGAGTGTATGTGCTCATATTACACTTTCCCAAACAAGAATAAGATAACTACTTGCATCGCCCCCTTCCCATCATTTTCTTGTACATCCAGCATTAAGGCTATTTGGCCGAAACCCGAAACCCTAGTAAGAAGATGAGAAAAGAAAATTAATAATCCAACATTTTAGCGGTTTTCTTACAATAGTCTCACCTTATCGTTATTCATGAATAATCCAATCTTTACACCTCATCTTCATTCACTGGTCCCTGACTGGTTGATGATCGACTATTCTAGGTTTTTTCACTTTCTTTGCAAACCATTCAATCATAAATCTCATCTTTCACAAATCTTCATCAAGCGGTCCCACATATCATTTTTCTTTTTTCTTCCTAAAACTTTTCCTTTTTTATTTTTATCGCCTTGACTCTTTTATTCTCCTTTTTTGTCTTCTTCTTATTTTTATTACTTTTCATTTTTTTTTTTTAATTTTTTTTCAATGTTTATGTATTCCATTTTTTTCTCTTTCTTTCTTCTTCCAGTTTATTATTTCTTTTCATTTTTATATATTTTTAATCCGGAAACTAATCTTTTATAAGGAAACTAAGACCGATAAAAGGTTGACTTATTAATTTCCATTTTCCCTTTATGTCCATCTTTTTTTTTTTTTGCTTTCTGGTAAGGTAAAAATAAGAATAAGTATCACAAATGACAAAGGTATATCTTCATATCCTTGTGTTACAAAATGAAAATTACAAAATGAGATGTGTATATGAACGATTTGCACGAGTATCATTTACATTTAGATGACCTTGGTACAAAATGAAAATTAGCAACAACAAACACGAGTAGATGGAATGAATGTTTTTTGGATGAAAATTGAGCAATTATAACAAATATAGCAAAATACCTTCTATGCTGTCAATATACAAGGGAGAGCTGAACAGTAGCCCCTAATAATTTTGTTCATGAAAAGACTAGTTTGATATGACTTCCGACAAAGATATTCAAAATCAAGTTAAGATGCAAAAGCATCACAATTTCACAAATAGAATAAAGCTATAAAACCAAATATCTTTTGTGGTATAAAAGGAAGATGTTAATCTCCACTCTCCCAAGTGTTAGGAGTAACGTCAGCTCCTCATGACAAACGATTACACCTACAATGTTCATACACTTGAAATATATCTTTCAGCAAATGTAGACAAATCAGAAAGTGATGGCATATCTTGAAGCTCTTAGAGTCTTAGGTAACAATTTTGCATTTGTAGATTTCAAAATTCGCCTCATTAGGTAACCATCCCGTATATTTTGAGACTGATGCTTGAATACGAGTTTTAGAACTCGATAAGATCTTTCCAACGATATAGAAAACTCTTGAGTTGTATTGATTAATCTATACCCTTTGCATCATTTTTTCATGGCACAAAGATGATGCCTACTACCTTGGATCTCTTTCTATCCAATCAAAAGTGTATTACTATTGCTACTTCATTGTTTTAGACTTATCATGTTACTTCACATTTTCAAATTGTAAATGGGTTTGCAAATAGGCTTGGTTGGTCCCTATTTAATTTTTTGTCCATTCAAAATAGGGGTTTATGATGAACTCTCCATCTACTGCTATTGTTCTATTTAGTCTAGGCGATATTATGTCAATATCATGTTTGTACCATTCCTATTTCCCCCAATGTATTATCATGTGCTGGGAGCCCGGGTTCATTCTTGTAGGATGATTTTTTCTAAAGACAGTAGTGAACCTCAATAGATTATCCTTGTTCAATCCCATTTTATCCTTTCCTTTGAATCGGAAACCACGGTTGAAGTTTGTTTAGAATAGATATAATTATTTAAACAATATGAACTACAATGTTTAATCTATCCTTGAAAAAGAGAATGGCTATAAAAAGGAGACAATAGAAGTACAACATGATGGTTTGCCTATGATATCCTTTTTCTTAAGATTGGACAATTGGAGCTTGGTAAGTTTTGTCTTAATTTTCTCCTTCCTTACTATAATAAGTGATCTTATTTTTCTTATAATCAAGCTCGGACGCATTAAGTTTTCATCTCCCATTCTGTTATTGTGCTTTCTATTACCATTGTATTCCATATGTCAACATTCAACAAAACATATCCATAAAATTACGAAAACATATTCATAAAACCTCAAAACCTTAGTGTTCCTTCTTTTCAAAGTTCCTAATTTTTGGATGGGGTAGTGGTTTATGATTAATAGAATACATTACAAAAAAAACATAGAAAGATATCTTCTCCCCCAAATTTCCCAGTCTTTAACATTCCACTACAGTAAGCCAACTTGTGTTGTGTGCCATTCATTCATCCCCTCAATCATGATTGTGTCTGCCAGCAGTACCATGACCATAAATGAACCTTGCACTGCCTTCTGTATAAACATGACTCTCATTGTCCAATCTACAACAACATCCATTTCAATTGAGCATTAGTTAACTAACAACTATCACCCAAATATCGGAAACAAAACCGGTTGAATGGTCCTAAACCGTAACCTGTACAAGTAAACAGTTACTATCTAGTCTGGTTCCACCAAAATAGGACAAAAACGTATCGGTACCAATACGGTTTTTTTTAGATCAAGAAAGAACCCAACCAAATCTGGAACCGTTATTCTACCTGAGCATAGCCGAACCAGAATTACTGGTTCCTATATTTAGGGATACCAGAATTGGCTGGTTTAGAACTGACTTGTGTACCCCCTAACAAGAATTTATAAAAGTAGGCATTAAGATTATAACAGTAAAACACAACCATGGTGTGAATAAAAGTATCCTTACGATCTTCGAACCGCTTTGCATAAGACTGATGCAGATGAGAATGTCTTGCCATCAAGATATTTGTTCTCCCCTTTCACCCTCTGAGTAATTCTCTTGTCTATTTCATCCACACTCACCCCAAATGGGGTGTCAGACGCCTGCCATTTTATGTTGTATTTCTCGTAATCAGCCAACTTTTATTTAAGTATTTTTCTTAAACAAAAATGTTGAATCCTAAAGAGGAATTAAGATAGCAAGTACCATAACCCATCCCCACGTGTCAGCATATGAAGGTACATGAGCAGAATAAGGCACCACATCTGCACATAAAAAATGTTTATTTTTCATCATGAGACTTTGTAATCTGTATTATGTAGAAACAAATAAAAGACATATAAGAGTTAATGTGTTAAGAATAGATGTAGATTCTAGCTTAACTCTAGAAAGAACTATAGATTAAGAAGTCCTTTCCCTTCAAAAAAAAGAAGTCCTTGAATGCATATTTAACCGAAATGAGATGACTCCCACAATTGAAAACTTACATTTGAAAACCTGTTTGAGAGTATTGTAGATGCAAGAGAAAACCTCGGTGTGGCTAAAAATCCCAGCAGGTCCTGCCTGTAACATGTCAAGAGTATGATATTCCACAAACTCTACCTCGGTGTGGCTAAAAGATGATGAAAATATTTCGGTTTAAAAATGAATGAAATGTGTTGTGTGTGTGTGGGTGTGTTTTTGTGTGTAGCACCTACCTGTGTGACAAATATGCCATCTTTATTGAGCCTTGGTTTGACAGTGGTTTCATAAAAGGATTTAGTGTAAAGTTGATAGCATGGACCTCCTTCAATGGGGTCTGCTAAGTCTCCAATGATCACATCATAC